CCAACATTCGTATGTTGAGTCCTACCCCCAGCACCTCAGGATATGACTGTATTTGGAGATAAGGCCTTTAAAGAGGTGATTCAGTTGAAATGAGGGCATTAGGATGGGCCCTAATCTAATATGACCGGTATCCTTACAAGAAGAGGAAACTTGGACACATCCCGGGGTTTGCAGGCACAAAGGAGGGACCCTGTGAGGATGCAGCAAAAGTGTGGCCATGTGCAGGATGCAAGCCAAGGAAAGTGGCCTCAAGAAACCACCAATAACACCTTGATCTTGGACTTCTAGCCTCCAGAACTGTGAGAAAATACATTTCTATTGTTTAAAGCAACCCTGTCTGTGGTATTTTGTTGTGGCAGCCCTACAAAACTAATATAGCCCTCTTGTAATTGTAGGGACTTTTCATTTAATTCCATCTTTCAACTCACACAGCCCATCTAATAGGTGGGGTTAATGCGTTCTCAAGTTCTCTGCCTCACTCTCACCCACCAGTTAAGAGTCCCTCTCTTTTGTTTGCTCATTTATTAATTCTGAGTAAGTTAATTATTAATTCTCCCGGCACATATTGAGTGTGCTAGGCCCCTGGAAAAGAACCAGCCCTGCCCTCCCAGTGACACAAAAAGGCAGTGACTATGCCGGGTGCCATAACAGCAAACAAAAGCTTCCCCACTCAGCTCCGTCACTGTCTAATCGAAGACTGGAAGGTTCAGGGTAGAAGCTAAGAAGTCACGACTTACAGGTTGTGTGCCCCTCTCTCACCCAGACTCATCAAAGGCCTTGCCCTGCCACTCCAGTCATTATCCTGACTCCAGTCATCAGGGATGCTCAGCACTTGGCCTTTTGGTTTCTTACCTCCCTGTGTGCGATGATGGGCCCCTTCGCTTCATCTCACCATCTTCCTGCTCCCATGGTCACCCCCTGGGCTGCATTATTGCTGAAACAGCCATTTCTGAAATCAGTAACTGAAGCATCCCTCTCTGGCAGACTCTCAGCATGACTATCCTTCAACCTTCTGAGTTCTCAGTCCGTAAACTCCTACCTTCTCCCTCTGCACTTCCTACCTTACCTGCCCCCTCTCCGACTTCCAAGACATTCTTCTGGCTACCCTACCTCTCCAGCTGGCTTTCTGAGCTGCTTTTGCGGGCTCATCCTCTGGTTGTCCAACAAACCCCCAAGCTCTGTCCTGGGCTCTCCCCTACACTCTGCTCTTCCCCGGGAGGCCTTCTTCACACAGCTTCCATTCCCACCTATACCCAGATGTCTCACAGATGTGCATCTCCAGCCCTCATCTGTCTTCTGAATTCCAGATGCATATATCCGACACTCGATATTTCAAAGGTACCTCAAACTCCTCACCCTTCCTCCACACGCCTCCCCCAAACCTGGTCTTTGTCCAGTATTCCCCATCGCAGTAGCATTACCACTGGTCCAGGTACTTAAGCCAGTAACCCAGGAGTTATCTCTGCCCCTCCTGTCCTCACCATACCCCATATCTAATCCACTTCCAAGCCGGTCTTCACACACAGGCCTCAACATGCTTGTTACATAATTTTTCCTGGTGTACATCATCTCCCTCCTCAGACTGCAGGCTCCCCCTAGAGCTGTTTTGATCATTGCTGTATCCCCAGAAACTTCACAGAGCTCTGAACATAGTATATATTGATGAAATATTGTTAAATGAATGAATGTGGCTCAGTTGGTTGGAGCATTATCCCGTACACCAAAAGGGTTTGACTCCTCAGGGCACACACCTATGTTTTGGGTTCGATCCCCAGTCCGAGCACAAACAAGAACCAGCCTGATCGATGTTTCTCTCTCTCCCTTTCTCTCCCTCTAAAAATCAATAGAAATATATTCTCGGGTGAAGATTTTTTAAAAAACTACTTCTAGACAGAGCCACAGGCATCAGTTACCAGGAGCTGATGGTGCTGTGGACACTCACAGCTAGCTCATTCATTACCCTGAAAAGCCAGAAAAGGCAGATACTGTTAGCACACCCTATTAAACATCAGGAACAGAAAGCTCTGGGAACCAAGGTTTAGCTAAGGTTTACTGTGCCCCTAGAACTGCCCGACAGACGCTATGTTATTGGAAGTGGGGTCTAGGACTTGAGGATTCTACCCCGCCCAGCCTCCCGCCCGGCCCCATTGTTCGGCCCCGCTCCTGGGCCCCAACGCAGCCCCCGCTGGGCTCTCGGCCCCGCCCCCTACAC